AAGTCGTACGCGACTTGGGCTCGGGCACATGCTGGCTGACGGACTAGTACCATCTACGGTTAGACCACAGGGATGATTAAGTTCTACCCCGTGTGGCTGGGATGCGAAGTGTCTGTCTTGGCCGGCAACCGCCCAGCTGGGCCCTCCTGTTGACACTAGAAGTTTCATTGGTTCAGGGACTATCCTTGGTCCACGTGTAAGTCTTGGCGAGTGCGACAGTGACTGGAATTGAGCTAGGCCCGATCGGGAGGGTGCCGAGGTATGAAGATATCTCTGTGCACGAGAGTACATCGCCTAGGCTAGTCGGTCTTTCGAATAATCGCGAACTCGTTCGGGCGCGTCGCGATTTTTAACTTGCTCGCGTATTTGATGTTTCATTCCCTATTTTTATGGGAAATTGAAAATATCTTAGCGTTGCGACAGTAGAGTTATAGTATACCGAATCGAATTCCCTTTGAAAGACTCGAAATTGAATAAAGTGTCAGTAGAGTCACTTTAATTCGCTCCAAGTTAGATTAGGGTCCCTTTGATACGGATAGTGCCAGTAGGATGCGCCACTAGGGCGCATGTCGGGTCTCGATGCGTAGCCACCTCCACGTGGTGAGACCTGGTAATTGATATCGTTTCCCAAAGAGGAATCTTTGGCAAACGATACCAAGCTAAGAGCTACGCACAAAGTTTAAGATATTTCCTATCTCTTGTATATTTGCAATGTTCCCTTTGAACTTTGAAACTGAAGAATGGGCATTATCTGATAAAGTAATATATAAATGAAGATAAATTCAGGTAAGTATTGCAAGGTAGGTATAATTAAGGTAAGTATAAAATTAATCTGTACGCGGAAGAAATGTAGAATATTTAAAGTCTTCTGCAGTGAGTAGACTATGTATTATACTACGTTTCTTTTCGCAAACGTTGCAAAATTTCCTTGGCTAGAATTCTTGGAAATGACGTCATTTCTTCGAATCGGTCGATGAGCGACCTCCTTTTATGTCATGTTATCCTGATACCAAATCGTAAAATCGGCCAGAAACAATTCCTCCAGGCGGCAAAGGCATTGTCCGAGATTTCGTGGAAATGACGTCATTTCTTGGAATCGGTCGATGAGCTACCTCCTTTCATGTTATGTTATCCTGATACAAAATCGCGAAATCGGCCAGAAACTATTCCTCGAGGCGGCAAAAGTGCTGTCCGAGAATTCTTGGAAATGACGTCATTTCTTGGAACTGACTTGGCGAGCGATCTCCTTTCATGTCATGTTATCCTGATACAAAATCGCGAAATCGATCACAAATATTTCTTCGAGTCGGCAAAAGAGTGTTCAGAGAATTCTTGGAAATGACGTCATTTCTTGGAACTGACTTGGCGAGCGATCTCCTTTCATGTCATGTTATCCTGATACAAAATCGCGAAATCGATCACAAATATTTCTTCGAGTCGGCAAAAGAGTGTTCAGAGAATTCTTGGAAATGACGTCATTTCCTAGAACTGTCTCGATGAGCGACCTCTTATCATGTTATATTCTCCTGATACAAAATCACGAAATCGGCCGGAAATTTTTCTTCAAAGCGGCAGAAGTATTGTCCAGAAGCGGCAAAAGTATTGTCCACACGCGGCAAAAGTATTGTCCAGAAGCGGCAAAAGTATTGACCATCAAAGCGGCAAAAGAATTGTCCAGAAGCGGCAAAAGTATTGTCCGGAAGCAGGAAAGGTATTGTCCGGGAGCAGGAAAAGTATTGTCCGGAAGCAGGAAAAGTATTGTCCGGAAGCAGGAAATGAATTGTCCTCGGAATTCTTGGAAATGACGTCATTTCTTGGAATCGGTCGGTGAGCGATCTCCTTTCATGTCATGTTTTCCTGATACAAAATCGTGAAATCGGCCAAAAACTTTTCTTGATGGCGGCAAAAGTATTGTCCGAGAATTCTTAGTAATGACGTCATTTCGCGGAACTGTCTCGATGATCGACCTCCTTTCATGTCATGTTCTCCTGATACAAAATCGTGAAATCGGCCAAAAACTTTTCTTCATGGCGGCAAAAGTATTGTCCGAGAATTCTTGGAAATGACGTCATTTCTCGGAACTACCTCGATGATCGATCTCCTTTCATGTCATGTTCTCCTGATATAAGATCGCAAAATTGGCCAAAAGCTTCTCACCAAGGCTGTAAAACTATTGTACAGAGAATTCTAGAAAATAACGTAATTTCCCGGAACTGTCTCGATGATAGATCAGCGCATCTGTGATTTTCGACTGGAAGCGTAAGGATTGTCACGTGGTAGACAAGGACAGCAAGCGGTTAGAAAAGGATAGAGATGATGCAACAGTGAAAAATCACAAACTACTCAATTTCTGTAATTAATTTATGAACTTTTATAATTGCATCAGAAAGCTGGAACTACAGGCAACATTCTTATGGATATTACGAGAACAATTTAACACTAATTAGCTTGTTATAAATTATTATTTGTAAGCGTGCGGAATTTTGTAACAACGAGCGTCGTAATCTTACGTGAAAATATTTAATTATGAACAAAACTAGAAACAAATTGTTAACAAATGTGATAAGAGAACACGCGTACGAATATTGTTTTCATAATGAGCGAATGAAAGTTACAAATTAATTGCATAGAAGATAGTAATTAATGAGAAACTATTAGTATGTTCAGGATTAGTTCAAACACCTCGTGGAATAATTTCTAATAATTAATTAATTAACGAGGTATTTATATCTGAAATAATATTATAAAGTTCTTTCAGAGTTCCTCCTTACGATGCAATTATAAAAGTTCAGAAATTCTTTGATTTTTTACCCGAAGCTCCGAAAAGCTTTAGGAACTTACGATACAAAATCATAGATGACTACTTCAGATGGCTACTTCATTAGATGTTTCAGGCTGTCATTAGCAGATGGCAGTGGCTATGAATTCCTACCAATTTTTTTACTACAGACTTTCAGAAATCCATAAATATATATATACTAAGGACTTAATTAAACTCAAACAACAATTAAAGCATAATTAACACTTATTTGATCTATTTACAATTATTTGACTTCTCGTCAAGAATGATAATACCTGAAGAGAAATTTCTAGCCATTGTACGTGCTGCCATCTAAGAACTAATTATTTAACTATGTCTACATTTTATCAGCACAAAATTTCTAAAAATAAAATTCTTGAAAATTCGTGTTACAAGAATCAAAACATAAAGAGAATAACCTACTTTTGGATTTTTAATAAAAATTATGTTTACTTTGAAAAATAATTATAAGGAAATTTCCTTAACGTGATAATTAATTATCGATAGAATTATACGAATTACAAAAGTGGAATGCAAACTCTTTAATATACACTTACATAATGTGTAAAATGTATTTTATTCATTAAATCTATGTGGCTCTGCAACATTATTCTCAAGCTGCGATATATCTACATATGGTACAAGGTACACTGTAATGTAGTTCCATCTACCCTCTTCTTCGTGAACTAATAATACAGAAAACCGAATATGTAGCAGCGAAACACGATGTCGTGGGTAAAACAGAACTCAAATTATTTGGCAACGGACGGTAATAAAGGAATTTTATTTGCAGATTCATATTCAAGAAGGTAAGCTCTAGAAAAGTTACTCGATGGATATTACAGATTTGAGGGAAAATTGAAATTTCTTGGATAGTATAATTACATACATTTATTGCTGCTTACAAGCATTTGTTCATCCACTTCCATTTGTGCATTTCTAAAAGTTGTTAATTAATTCGGGGCAAGTTACCAGGATAAAAAATTAACATAAATTGCTTTCAAATAAAATATACAGCTTCAATAAAGATTGTATATTTAATGCTATCCATTACTACTATACGTTATAAAAAAATTGAAATACCAGAAATAATTCATTTCGCAAATTTCTTCACTGTTATCGGCCCCATTTCCAATAATTCACATATAATACAAAACCCTCAATATTCATATCGTTCAACTTCAAGCATCTTCCACTATACCTAAATCACAATAACCACCACTGTTTATCCAACGACAATAAATGCTTTAAAAGAGCAAGGTTCCATCGAATCGAGTAACATCACGAAACTTCAAGTTGCTTGAGGTGAGGATACTTTACTGGAATGCGAGTGCGTCGGTTTCGGTCCAATGGTCGGTGTTTTACTAGAGACTGGACACAGAACCTGTTTGTAGGCCTCTCTATAAAGTTTATTAGTGCCAGCATAAATGAAAGGATTAATTACAGAAGATGCCCATGCCAGTACAGACCCAATCACGTGCAGAATCGGAATTTTTATCTTGTCGTCGATCACGTTGGCCAACATCAGTGGCATAAAACACAGAAGGAAGCACAAAAATATAGTCAACATCAGCCTGGTCACTCTAGAATCTTCTCGGCGTTGAAACCCTCCAGCTTTCCTCCTGGAGATGCCAGAGTGCGCCTCTAGATTCCTCCTACTCTTCCTTACCCGCCAATAAATGCAGAGGTATGAAACACTGATGACAACGCAAGGCACTATAAAACCCAGAACGAATAGAAATTTCTTTGGGCTGTTTCCATTCTTTTTCAGGATTGTACAGGAAAATGTGGACGGTTCTAGACCCAATGTTCCCCAAAAACCAAGCAATGGCGGTAGAAGCAGTGAGAAACTTAAAGTCCATATGGCAATCAGCATTAAAATTATTCTCTGCGTGGTGTACAATTGAGCATATATCTCTGACCTCGAGATTAGTATGTACCTGAAACATAGAGTTATTTCAATAATTTAAATTCCATTTAAATTGGAAATTTTTTAATTTATTATCAATTTATTATTAATTGTTGTATTTACTATAGCTTTTGTAAGAATAGAATAATGTGTCTAATTATAACTAAAAAATTTCTAATTATACAAAAATGGAAATAAGTAAAAATTTAAAGATCTCTTTGATTCTCCAATTTTTACAATCTCAGTTTAAATTAGTACAAATTAAGGAAAATGTTATAGCACATCCAAGATATGCTAATTATCTTATATAATTATTAAACTATAAACATTAGTCTATTCATAGCTTTCAATCACTAAATGAAACCCTTATTTTTCTGTCGATATAAATTCGATACGGTCGATAACGTAATACAACTTCAAGAGCAGCTGTCGGTATTGAATTTATCATGTGTACATTTGATCCTATTTCAGATGAGCAATAGACGATTAGCTTCCATAGAAGCATGCTGAGTTTGTAAAATCGGGAATGTAATTCGTCAGCACAATTTAGAATAAACTAAATCAGGAACAGTGACATTAATCAATGATTGTTGAAACAGGTGTCTCGTGTTATCACGAATCGTTAGAAATATGTAAATGGAAAAGAATCAGCCTATAATGATTCTATGCTAAGTTTATACTAAATGTATTATACATATTTGAGGTTACAAACCGATTGATCGTGATGGCTACCATACTGAGCAGCGATACTGCCACGTTCCCATAAAAAAAGAGCGGGAATATTTTGCATAGAGTTTCACCCAACACCCACGCCTCGTTTAAATATCTGCTTGCAGTTAATGGTAAGTTTACCGCAGAGAAAATTAAGTCTGAAATACTGAGACTTATTACGAAAGCGGTCGTAGCATGTCGTCTCAGTCTTGTATACTTTAACAGTGCTATCACTGTTACCAAATTACCTGGAACATACAAAAAGATATATTAAAAGGTATGAAAAGAGAAAGAAACAAAGATTATACATATTCAATTTTTTACTCCACTCTAATATATATAATTATCAATTAAATAATAAATTAGAGTACATTGTGCCCCTTTTGATCTGTCTTTACTGACTCAATTAAGCTAAATTAAGCTCAAAATAATAGCAAATATATTATTAATACCTTAACTTTAATTAATATTTTTTGAAATCAATGTATTTCATTTATTTTCATTTGTATAATACTGCACTCAAACGAGTACAGTTCTATCAAATTTCAAAATTTAATTCAGAAGGTAATATATAATTATCAGGTATACTAGAATCTTATCTCAAGAGTTCATTGCTCTCACACGAATGAATGAAGTTACGTTTAAAGAGATACCAAGGAAGAAATTTACTACGAAATGATGAAACTATTTGCTTAAAACAATTCTCGTGATTGCAATTGAAGCATCGTCGTTTTACCTCGTAAAGAAAGCGTGGAAGCAAGTGAGTAATTAAAAAAGAAGATATTAATCGCCCTAATTCTTGACACCCTTTCGCATAAATTAAGGGAGTTAATAGTCGTAAACCGAGAAATGCCACCCACAGGTCAACAAGAGCTTAACATAGAATTTAGTCGCACAATTAAGGGTTCATTTGTTACGAGCTAACATCTGTACACTATTTTCTTCTTACAGTGGGTATTTATGATGCTTCTAACAATGGAATCTTTTCTGGGATAAACTCTCACAAGCTGTACAATCAAATGTAATCTACAGTCTAAGCCAGTCTTGAACGTAATTCATTATTCTTTATCTCTAAATGATTTAAAAATTTTGTCACAATTTTTACTTCCAATTTTTCGTTCCAATTTTCACTCGACCACTCGACGTAATTGTAAGAAATTAATTTCGTATTTCCAATTGCTATAGTAAATTTGCAAATTGCAGGTGGCAATTATAAAACGAGGCTTATATTATTACAAGACATGATCTCGATAAATTAAATACGGTCCGATGGAGCTGATTCGCGATCACGCATATTACACAGAATAAAGGTAAAAGAACTGGATTTTACCCGCAACTCCGATGACGCTGAAAATTATCGCGCAAACCGCAGCTGCGATAGTGACTGGCCGTGGAAAGTGCTTGAGACTCTCACCTCCGGACTCGAGGTCGAAAATTGTGCCGTTTGTTACTGAATCTTCCATTTTGTATCGTGTTTATGCGCTCCTTCGTAGTGACATGTTCTCGGAATATGAAATGCAAAACGAAGTGAACACGCTTTGGGAAAAGAAAAAATAATGTCATTAAAGGACACCTGCACTCAACGATGAGTACATACTCGCAATGGTCACTCAAAATTTGCAAACTCTTTTATTATACACATCAAATCGAATTATTGGCGAATTAAATGCCATTGGATAATGATACGAAATTATTAAGCAGAGAGTCTTGCCACAAATTATTGCCATATATTCATATACTTTATATTCATTACGACACATGAAGATAAAAATATATTAATACACGTGAGTAACGATAAAGCGAATTTTTGGCCAAATTTTAGTTTCCAGTATAATACTTACGTCTCGCACCCAGTCTCGATATTACTCATCGTGTTTTCAGAAGAAGCGTTGCGAGTTTCCGATCTTCTATTTCCTCCGGTAATTTGAATTATTCGCTATCGAGTACTTTCAAACTTCTCGTACGAAATCTCATTTACGTCGTGAATCTTTTTATCTCCGTTGCACAAGATACGCGAAGAAAATGTTTACCGCTTCATCATCTGCCAATGATTTGCGTCCGCTCCATCGAAAGTGCCCCGTCTAAAACAGAAAGCAATCGTGTTATCTCGTTAAGTTAATTATCCGTGAATCATGTTGCTCGGAACCTTCACTTATTACTTAAAACAACCACTAAACACTTCCTTATCGATTCTCCTTTACGATTATTCATTCCACTCGCTGTCAAAGAGCGTCTCGCGGCAACAAAGAGCTACAAAACAGCACTCTACTTTTCGCTTTACTCTCGATCATGATGCCTCTCATTATTCATCAGCCTAATCTCGTCGCGAGTGAAAAATAATTCATACGAGAGTTCTGTGCGAGATATCTAGAAACAAAAAGACCCTTGGAACAGATTCGAAACGTACTGGACTCACATTTGCACGAACACAGAGCCTCGAGTTATCCAGCAGCACGTCACGGAAACGAGGCTTGAAAATCCGAGGGAACCGATCAGCTGAGGCATTTCTTATTGTTCTTCGACTTGCACGCGTACAATGGCACACGATTTGCATATGTTTTCGACGGCAATCATTGCACCGACGAGCTTCGACAGTGTCTGGAACGATTAAACGCGCGAGAGGGCCCCTTATCCGACCAGCCACTCCAACACGGACCCTCTTTCGTCTTTTCTTTTTGTCCAAGTCCGTTAGCGACCGCCGACTCGTCTTCTAACATTCGCTGAATTTTCTTGCCATTCTCGACGACGTCGAAAAAACGGCACGGGAACCCTTTACACCACTGGGAAAGTGGTCTTCCTCTTCTGTCCCTTCCGGCAGGCCACGGGCTTTGAACTTGTTGCGAAAGCCGACTCCAACTATCGCACTCGTCGATGAACTTTAACCTTGTCTTATTGCATATAATTGATTTTCGTTGCTTTCTCGGAAACACTGTCAATGAGTCTTCGATTATTGGATACGTTCATTTTCGCTCACCGTGTCTCTCGTTTGCTTCAGGTTGCTGCAGACGTCGTCTCGGAGATGTTGGAAAACGTCAGTTGCATTGTGAAGTGATGTATTTATATTTTATTTATTTTGTTTAATTTGTTTAGTATATGGAATATTTATGTATCGATGAAATTATGTTCTCTGGATTGAGACTTGGCTTGACCTGTTTGAAGTTCGTGGCTACCAATGGCGATGCGAATGGTTTTGAGATGGTCAGCATCGCGGTACTCGGACAGAGTACTTCTGCAGGCGAAACAGTAATTAGTTATAAGAAATATTTATTACTGCCTCTTTTGTATTCCTCGGTTTTCTCTCCTGCAGTTGCATCGCCGACGATAACCCTTCACAAAGGGTCGCATTCAGCTTCGAAGTCTGTTGCTCAATAGCACTCTATTTCACAGTCTCCTTTTCCCTTTTCACCAAAAAGAAACGTACGCGATAACGCGTTATCCTAATTCGAAAACCTTCGTCGTTTCCTTGACCAACTGGTCAACGGTTCAATGCAACTCTTATTCGTCGTGTAAGGTGTAAATTGCTGTCGTTTTATAAAATTTCAACGAAGTCACAGTTTATTGGGATTTGTGTTGCGAGCGATGGTACTTGTGGTAATTTCTCGAGATTTTTTGGAAATATTTTTGAGAAAGTAGAAGAGACTTGTTAGCTGTTGTTTTGGTCTAGCTAGCACAACGACTGTTCGTCGACTGACGAAGTTGTTCGACGCGTTACTCCCCTTTTACACAAGGAATACACGAGGCCTTCTTATCTGCCACTTCTTCACTTAACTCTCTCGCTTCCTCCACCGCTGCCTTTTTTCGGCTCTTTCATATTCCGTTCGAGAAGCCCTTGCCTCTTTTGCTCGAGCACCACTGCCGCCAAGGAATCGTAATTAATTAATCTCTCTTTGGGGATCATTGTTAGACCGAGCATCGTTCAAGTACAATCGAGCGAAATGATACTCCTCGAACTATGGCGGCCGCCGTGAGAATTTTCGGATCCTTTGGTTACGTACACCTTTCAAAGTGGTACCCTTTTTGCATGTCAACAAATTTTTCTTTGCTTTTATTTCAAAATATGCGTGTTCTCCTATTTTTCGTTTTGATAATGAAGCTTTCCGATTGGATTTTCCTTGATTTCGTGATTCAACTTTTATAATTTAGCTCTGAGATTTAATTAACTTGGATAAGTGTTGACAGTATTAAAAATTGGAACACTGTTTAGTCTTATTCTACTGCTTTTACTATTGCTATTTATTGCAATTTTTCTAATTTTTAATTTTGCTGATTTTAATAATATCGATAGTAGGATATGAAATGGGATATTTATTAAAATTGGAAGTACTCTGTTTCTTTACTCAAATGATGTTTCCTCAGTGTTCAGCATTTGATTAAAAAACATCACTGACTCGAACAATAACACGATCGGGAAATAATAGATCCAATTTTGAAAATTAATATTGGAAAAGTTTCCCATTAGCTTAATGGACATGTTTGTAACGGTGGAACAAAACACAATTTGATCTTTATCTCTTCTGTTGTAAAGACACATAATTGCGAATGGATACCATTTTGAGTATAAATATAAAAATGACAACCTACAAGTAAACATTTCACGTGTTCTATCTAATCTAATAGACTTAGATTGCGTAGGTTTCGTTATGGTGAAATGAATATACAGTACTTGGAACAGTTTTCGAAATAACAATGTTACACTTGCTTCTTAATTAACGAGTTTTAATAAAAATTGAAGATATTCAAAATTCCTAATTTCTGGAATATTTTATTTTACGCAGCTCTAGTTTCACGATAACTTGTTTCGCAAAACAGTGGATGGAAATGTACAATCGAGAGACTGGAACAAGGCTAGAACAACAGGTCATGGCAAAATTTGAGATTCCAATTTATTCCTATTCTATTGTCATTCTTAACACACAGAGATTTACATGATCTACGTATAATAGAATTTGTTCGATGTAAAATGACAAAGATAAATCATTCGAGTTCTTCGATTATCTACTTTAAAAGAGAAGAATAATAATATACATGGAAGAAAATAGAACAAATGACTATAAATATTTCTAAAATTTAAAAAATGGAGAGGATATAAAATTAATTTCTTGAAACAAAGGATCTTAACGTGACGAAGATAAATAATAGCCACATACATTTGTTTTACTTGCACAGTTTATGTCCTGTTGGAGTCACCTTCGTAAATTTTGCTTCTATCCGTTCTACTTTCGTCTTTCTGGGTACTGTTTACATCTCGTGATTGAAATTTCATATATGATTTAGGGCACACCTTCCTTTACTTTGCGGTAGTTCTACTTCGAATAGCAGCAAAAATCTAGACGCTCAAACACGATGAGAAGTCCAGTTTGGAAAATATAAACTGTGAAAAGATCGGCTGTAAAAATTATTTCTAGCATCAACCATGTACTTCCCGATTGAATACTGCTCGAATAAATTTCCGTCCACTTTTTATACGAAATTTTACATTTAATTTAGAAATTAAAACCTTAAATTATAATTAAGTCTTGTAGACGAAGTAAAATTTATTATGTAATTTAAAATATGTATATTTCTTGAATAAATGTATTTCATATATTTCATTGAAAAATATATAAAACAGAGAAATATATTAAATTAATAAAGTTAAATATATAAGAAACATTTACAAAGCACAGTTTATAATATTATAATAATTACCTAAAATTTCAGTTTCCTGTACAACATGGTAAAATATTCTTCTAAGTCGCCACGGAATAAAAATCCACTCTTGATTTCACAAAATAAATTCACGAATAATTACACTTCTCTTCACACAACAGAGTTACATACTATGTCACGTAAAAATTTCTCTGTGCCCTTCTAGCATTGCACTTCTTCATGAATCAATCTGATTCAACCCCTGATTCAAAAAGAAGTATAAAATAACAAAGAATAAAATAAAAACGAGAAAGAAGTCTAGCATAGTAGGAACTGCGAGGACTGGAGCACGATTATTTACATCGTCGTTTCCCATTAGTTAGGAATGCCTCGGGGGTTTCACCTTGTCAACGACTCGCGCCGAAATGCCATAGACGCGCTTGTATTCACGCTTGGTTCGTTCCGCGCAGCACGCGTTTCTCGTACTGACGGCTGTTCCTCGTGGTGAGATCGGGCCGATGGTGAAAATGGTCGAGGGATCGGTGGTCGAAACACGATTGGCACGCGCTGGTATTAACACGGTCAACGGGGTGCAAGAGGGTGGCGACGAATGGCAGCGTTCACGCGTTCTTCATCATGCACGGGTCGTTAATCCTTCGATTAGCCCGGTCTATCGATTGGATATTATTGACGTTAAGTATTGCGACCATTGACAGCAACACTTGATTATCCCATTAGAACGTAATAATTCCATACGAAAATAAACATTTTTCTTGAGCTTCACCGGAGAATAAAAGACGAATTTATATTTGAAAAAATAAATTTTCAAGTAATTAATTCAATTAACATATGTTATTATAGTATTAAATAATTTAGGCTTTACTATAAATCATGAATTATAAATTAATTGACATAATGGAAACTTTATATATGTATATATATAATCAGAGTACTTCGTAAGTGATATTGAATTAATGATTGCTTCACAAATATCAATCATTTTTATATATATATCGATAAAACCACAAGTTTTGACATATATGTAGATAATACAATATAAAGAAAATAAATATTTTTGTTGAGCTTCACCGGAGAATAAAAGACGAATTTATGTTAAAAAAAATAAATTTTCAAATAATTAATTCAATTAATATATGTTATTATAGTATTTAATAATTTAGGTTTTACTATAAATCATGAATTATAAATTAATTGACTTAATGGAAACTTCATATATATATAATCAGAGTACTTCATAAGTGATATTGAACTAATGATTGCTTCACAAATATCAATAATTTTTATTATAGTATAAAACCACAAGTTTTAACATATATGTAGATACAATGGAACAAAGAGTAACCGTAAAATTTGTATCGATATTAACACATTGTTGACCGGTGACGAGTTAACTCGTCTCTTCCTGCCAAACGTTGTTAACCGATGACGAGTTAACTCGTCATTGCACTTGCATTGTCTATTTCAATTTATGAAACCCAGAACGATATAGAATATTGCGTGTGAAAATGATTTTG